TTAGCCCTTTGTTGGAGCGAATAGAGGAATTGTGGGTTGTGTGAGCTTTTAAAGGCAGAGAATGGAGCTACATTATTGGTGGGAACATGGCAACAAGAAAAACAAGAATAAATTAGTGGAATGAAAAGCGTTCATTGATCCCTGTGGGATTTAGACTGCCGGTTTGAAAGATGAACTTTTGTTCAAGATTTTTACGGCTTTCCGTGCTACCTAAGTGTAAGGAAAGACCACAGATTGCAATATGTTGCTTAGAATGATTAGGTAAATTAAAAAAGTGGACTTTCAAAGTACAGTGTGTATGAAAAAAGTCAGCAATCTTGTTTGCACCCTTTACACCTTAACATCCCTATGCAAATTCTCATATACTGTTCTCTATACATTTACCAAGGTGCTGACAAAGAGAATTTGTTTGACAATCAAGTGCTTCTTAGTATGAGCGCAATCTTTGCAGTTATGAGCACTACTTAAGCAGTAATAAAAATAAGGCCTGAAAAAAATTCAGGCCTTTACGGGATTCAAACCCATGACCTCTCAAAACCGGTGCAGTGCTCTACCAACTGAGCTAAAAAGCCAACTGGAAGCTTCTTTAGTTGGTGATCATTTCCTTAATGTTTGACTCAGGGCTGATATTTTAAGGAGAAATAAGACACTTGTCACTTTTAGGGGTTAAAGGGTTAATAAGCGAAAAAATAATTCGTAAATATGAACATCTTTAACATGTACAGACCTTCATACGGAGAGTAGAAGGTTCTACTAAGTGCAGTGGACATCCATTAATCTTGACGAGGCCATTTCCACGTTTGCAGAAGGCAACAGCAGTTGCTGTTTTCTGAACAGAGGGATCAAGATGTTTAGTAAATGTGTCACTTCACTAACAGTCAGTCTACGCACAAGATTTTCTGGTATCGAAATCAGGAGATGAATTGTAATTAAATAAACTAGATGAAACCTTCTTTTAACTATGTAAAACTCTTAGCAGAGCAGTGGCAGCAAATCTCAAGGCAACAAGGAATATACAGTAAGTGCCATATCGTCACACTAGCTTGTAACTACCAGCAACTATATATTTTTGTCTCAGCATGTGTCTCACCATTAGAAAACTAATTAAAAATAGAATATCACGGCTTTAACCCTTTACAAGCTAACATCAGTATGCATTCACTCCATACTGTTCTCTATAGATTTCCTACGGTGTGAACAAGGAGAATTTGTTTAACTATCGATAGTTTCTTTAATTGGAGATAATTTCTATAATTCTCATGACATTAATGCTTGATTCAGGGGTAATACTGTTACAAAAAATACATGCTAATCACCTTGGGGATAAAAGGTTAATTTAAGTATCAAGTTGACTCAATAAGTTTTAGGGACGTAATCACCGCTTCAGCAAGTTGAATATATTTATATTTATCTTCATAATTTGAAAAAGTACATGCATTCTCATTTGAACTCCCTGGCGGCATATTTAGTTGAATTTGGGATGAATCATGACACACATTGAATTGGGCCACTCCATGTCAAATCCGCACCCCCTCTATTGAAGGCTTTCCTGTAACACCCCTCCAGAAAAGATATTTTTTAACCCCTTCAGAATTGCCTGAAATTACCCCCTTCAGAATTTTATGTAGCTATTAAGCAAACCAATTGAACCCCCTTCAGAAACTACTTGTGAGAATTTCTGTCAAGGGTATTTTATGGCGACTCCTCTCAGAAATATGGTTCAGCCCCCCTAAGAAAAAACATAGCATTGACCCCCCTCCCCCTTAGAAATCCCAGTCCTTCAAAAGGGGGGGTGCGGATATTAGGTGGAATGGCCTATTATAAGATTCACAAGGAAATTTAAAGACTTTTCGGCTTTGTAAATGTCAACAAAGTTATGGGACAAATGTGACTTGGTTTTACGTCGAAATTAAACGACAACATAATGTGGGACGCCACATTTAAGTCTCTTTTTCTACTAAAGAAAACCAAAGACGAGCCAAAAACTATCTAACCAGAAAGTTGTTTCGAAATCCAGCAACAAAACTACCGACAGAGGTCTCAAAACAAAATTGCTGACACCCCCTACCACAACTGAGAAAGACCACTGTGACTTTCGGTTGACGTCTTAAACTTCAGATATCACCATAAATTAGAATGGCACCTATTGGACATCACGGCCGCCATATTTGTATACACGTGTTACTAACAAACCTACATCGTTCGCAATAATTCTCTCCATTTCTACTCACCTTTCGTCCAAAAACTTGTACTGATTGACTCATCTTAAAAAAAACGACAAATAACGCGAAATCAGAAGCAATTCCAAGCTATAATAAGTGAATAATTTCAAATTAACTATACTAAACTTCAATACCTTTCCGATAAGCTCGAGAGAGTCGAAGCAAGAGAAAAAACACAGTCAGCGCATGCACCAATATGGCGAAACGCATAGAAACGAGGCTACAAAGAAAATCAGGAATAACGAATTTGGAAGGACTCCGGTCTAGGAAGTCAGGGAAAAGAGAGGCGCCAATAAAACGATGCCACTCGCAAGCGATGAAAACTCTCGATATTTTCTCTAATATGGAGTTTGTTCACTCAGCGATTATTTCCATTCTTCTCGTGTCGTCTGAACCTCATAATAATTTAGGTGCAAAAATAATGTAGTCAGTTGTATTACCAAGCAGTCACTTCCAGTGTGGGCCGCGACGTTTCAACCTCTCGACGTAATAATAAATCAATAAAACACATTATTGTCAAATTTTTCTATGAACGTGCTAGAATTTCCGCAAAAATACCCTTACGTCTCCCCGGAAAAAGAGTATCTGTTTCCAATCCGTGCATCGGATGGCTATCTTTGACCTTTCATGCAACAAGCGACCAAGAGCAGAAAAATCGACCACCAGTACTTAAATCGCAAGCGAGTTCAAATCCATGCACTGTGCTTTTCCCTCTTTTTTATTTTCTTCTTTTTTTAAAATTTTTCTATGTAATCAAACAGGATAGGCATACACGGTTTTCTTCTGATTTTACATTGGAAGGTGATAGAACCTGTGGCTTATATGGCTCGGATGGTGTAAATCAAAGTTATGTCCTGAAAATTAAACATCGCCGCTGCTTAACATGCCCACCATATATGCAGAAACAGGTCGTACACGTTTTTTTACTAAGTCGGAGACTACACCGCTCATTTCAATGAAAAAAAAAATGGGATTTGTGGGTTAAAGTTTTGAGTATTTTTTGGGCCTTTTGAATCTGAAAACATTTCCTGCGTGGGTGGAAATTTAACACCCTGATCAAAGTCAGAAAGAAATTAATGATTGAGAACTTCCCAATGAACTTTCCGGAAACTTCCCCGGAACTTGCAGGTACCCATTTCATTTAGCTTGCTAAGGCGGGTCAGAGTCGCTCAGTGAAAGGTCTAAGCCGAGACCTTCGATAATTCTCTCATCTTCATGATGAGCAACTTTTCAACTTCTTGTCAAAAATCTATGACTGATGAAGGCGACGATATTCCACAATGGCTTAGTTTACTGATTGTGTTATCGGTAAGTTCAACGGTTTTCCTCGCCTTGGTGTTAAACTGTAATCCATATCTGACCAGTGAAATCGGTTACGCCGATGGAGGGGACATGTATTCTCATCAGATAGAAATCCTCTACCTGAAGGAACTACTTCAAAGTGGAGCAACGGATTTTTGGTTCGACGAAGTCACGTTGGGTTACCCTTTCTTCCTCGCGTATAAACCATTTCCGTGTTTAGTTACATCCATCTTGATGATCCTCACAGAATCGTAAGTACCTATTACTTTTCATCCTATCCGGGTCAAAACGTTATGGCAATCGAAAACTTAGGGTAAATTTGAATCATAAACTCTCCAGTAGATGTGACTTGTTAGAAAAAACAAGGCAAGTATCAAGCTGAAAACATCATTGTTACGGGTAAAGTTGGGGACTCCATGACCGACCGAGCATAACCCATTGCATCTGATTGTGTTGGCTCATAATGACTGAATTATAATGTTTCTGAAGGTCAGGCATTTCAAAATGATTGTCCAGAGTATTTAGAAGCTATCCCATTCGGGACAATGGTTTTTCTTCTGTCTGTCATTACCTATTTAGTACATTTTTAAAAAGAAAGACACAGTGTTAGTCTCAGTGTACAGTGTGTTCCATCATGTCTCCCTAAGTACCTGCCTTCGGTTCATGATCTTGTGCAGAGTGAAAAACATTCCAGTTGCCTGATAACTGGGAAAAAAATGTTTTTATCTTATTTGTGTTATTGAAATTTATAATTGATTCAATCCAGTGGCATTTTTGTTCGAGTCGTTACGGCGAAATTTAGCAAATGTTTTTGAGGAAGCAAGCGAGAATCAAAGAGTAAACTCAAGTGTTGACGAACTCTCGATAGAGATTTTTTTTCCAGTGGAATGTAAACTTTCCCAGGCTAAATCAATGTCACATATTTCTTGTAAAAGTTCGCAATCGCGAGCAATTCGTGAGCTCGAGTGAACGAAGGAAACGAGTTGTGGACAGCCAAGCACTTAGAGCTCGAAGTCGAAGGTTTAATAAAACTGAAATCTGAGTAAAGGGACTTTTTAGACTGAAAAAAGTGGGAAAACTTCGAGAAGATCTGACAAACCTTTAACAGGATTCGAATGCCAGATGGACTAAAATAGAACGTGCCATCTCAAAAATAGATCGATGATATTGACCATTTGAAGGCTAACTTGAAAGAAGTTCAACCATGAAGGATTTGGTATAACCTTCACGATCACAAACGAACTTCGAGAACATTCGAAAAAAGCAACACAAATCATGGGAAAGAATAAAACTTTTGCAGATATCTCTCTTCCGAAATTTCAGTATTCGTGTATAAAGAAGGTAGACTAAACAGCCCTGTGTGAATATCTTTGTTTCTTAGTTTCGATTACACCTTTAGGAAACTTAATAACGGTCATCACATTGGCAAGAGACGTGACTACCCATCAAGGTAAAGCTGCTAAGCAATGCAAAAGACCAAGAAAAAAAAAAAAAGAAAAAAAGACCTCGCGCTTGCCAGAATAAGCTTAAGCAAAGACTTCACCTGTAAACATCATAACTAACTATTTTAGCTCTTGTACAGATATATGTATGAATATATATGGATAATCTCCATTTTATGTTTTCTCGAAGATATTAGCTCCAACAAGCTACTCTAAAATACGAGATGAAATAAAGTTTATGATGATGATGATGATAACTCCGCGAAAAAGCTCTTACGCTGGTGGAAAAATTTTGGAAAAGAGAAATGGCACTCAGATTTACCATGGGAAAATTTTTTGTCGACGGAAAGGCAATTCCAGTGGGGTATTCCTCGTAATTTTTGCTCGATATTGCTAAATTCATTCGAATATTTTTACTCTTCTGGGAGAGCAAACAGCTTAGTGTCATAAAACAATAGTTGGTTCATTAGTGCCGAGGATGCCCTAACGTGCGATGTCACCGGCGAGTGTGATTCCAAGAGCTGAACAAAACTGTATAAATATAGCCGTGTTTGCTATCAAAGCTGATTATTCTCCATCAAACCTTGAACGGATTATACAACTTTTCGGTTTACTAGACTTATTAGTCGCGGCTTGCCGCTGGCCTGAATTTGAAGATTTATGGGTTGAGTAGATCTTAGGATGTGCAACATCAAAATTTATTTAATCAGAAGTGAATTCACTTTTTATCTCTGCATCTTCTTTGTAGTACCAACGAACAAACAAACAAAAAAACAGCGACTCCTTTTTTACTCGTAAAAGGTATATTAAGTGAAATAATTCCGCGAAAACTACTCATAATTAAAAGTCAATTTGTAAAAACATATTTTAATCACTACAGGAGCTTAGTTGCTAGTTGAGGATTTCTAGCTAGTAGCCTCTACCCATTCAAACTCGGTTCTTTACTACTATAAAAAGAGTAACAAGATAAAAAGGAACCAGACTTATTAGATAATGTAGCATTACTCTGACACAAGACAGATACCAGGATTTCTATTCAAGGTACTTGCTGTGCTGTTCTGACAGTAAATAACGTTTCAATTATTTGGTAAAAGAGAATGTATTCATGTCTTTCAAGTAATATGGGATTTCTTGCCAGGGATCTATTGCTTGATACTGAAGTGTTTTTTCGTCTTTGTTGGTTCAGAAATTTCGAGGATGAAGTTTGCAGAAATGTTGCTTTGACGCACACCTTGTGTTGTACTGTTTCTTGCCAACTAGGGGTATAATGAAAGATTTTATCAATTACACTTGGTACAAACCCTTTATGCCACATAGATGCGCAAACTTTAGAGTGAGAAAACGATAGATATTATTTACTGTTAGGACATCTAGAAGATTAATGTAAAGAAGTGAACTCGTTGTGAAAGGCCTAGAGACAGTTGCAAAAATATATATATATAATCGCATGACCATATTTTGGTTAGATTATAACTTCGAAATACTTACTGTATTTTGCATCCTTTCAGTTAAAGATTGATTCCTGATGGGAATATTTCATTACCGAAGATTGTCGACCAGTTACGACACTCAACCTTTATTCTGTAAAGACTATATAAACTGCAAGAGCAATATCATTAAAAGACAAATTGATAACGAACTTACTCGCTCACCCACTAAACAGAGTTCAAGTGATATAGCAGAAAATGGGCATGTTCAGGTAAATGCCAACTTAGAGTACGGAGAAGATTTAAGTGATCACACCTGTTATGGGGTAATCAGAAGTTAACTGGGATTACGTTCATTTGTTTAATTTTATCAATCAGAAAAAAGTCAAAGCAAATTTAGCACACAGAACAGGTGGGAATGAGTATACACTGTGGAAGCAGAGGTCACTTCCGCCTATTCATACTAGATCCGTCTGGGTCATTTTGGAGACAGCAAGGCAAGGATAGACTTAATCAATTATCGAAACCATCTCCGCAATTACCGAGTGAATAAGTGTCAAAGCACAATCCAGTGTTTCTTTCTTGGTTACTCTAAGAATGCATTTCGATTGGGTGCCATAAAAACCAGAACCAACTTAATCACAGGCTGTCAATCAAAACAAAATTGACTCATGGTGCGAGATTGAAGGAGTAGCCAATGAAACCTCAAAGTAAAAACAAACAAACTGCTCGAGGCTTGGGAAACGAGGGTGAACAATCAGTTTTGAATCTGATTGATCGAGAAAGTGGAGCAAAGTAACGCAAAACAAAAGCAATTCCAGATTACCTCGACACATGTACAATTATAAAATTGCTCTCATCATCATAGAGAAGGACCCACTCTGCATAGTTGATGTTTCTAGCATTTTTAGTAATACAAGAGAATTAAACTTTTCATGACGCTGATTTCAAGGATAATTAAATTCAAATGCATGTAGTCATACATATATCTTATTAACAAGTGCGAGGGCCGTACTGGGAGAATATCGGCCCGAGGTCTTGACAGTACGGACCGGGCGCAGCGAGGTCCGTACAAAAAAGACCGAGGGCCGATATTCTTCCAGTACGGTTCCGAGCGAGCTTGGTTAATAAGAGATTTATTATACGACTGAAGTTCGAAGGGACACAAGTGCGGTATCATTCGGGACCATTCGGGACAGTGCCCGGTCCAATACTGAGAGAATATTGACCGGCAATAGAGCATTTTGATTGGTTGATTTTAGTTATTGGCCCTCTGCCTGCCCGAGTCGTGTAATAAATGTAGTTATTTTGCGGAGAGGTCTTTAGGGAGGTAAGCTAAGTCGTTACCATCGGCTCTCTGTGGAATTAAACCATTCTATTCTGTTTACAGATTTATCAGTCCCCTGTTGTTGTTCCGATGGATGTATCTGGTCATTCTCTCAGTAATGCCATGGACATGGTTGATTGGCCTGCGTAAGCTAGGACTGACACGATTGGAGGCGACTTTGGTTTCCCTTTGCGTGTATTCCATAAATAGCTGGCGAAAGTTTGGATTGGAGCTGGAAGCATTTCAGTATTATGGACTCTTCACACAGGCTCATGGAATGGCTATATTTCCAATGGCAGGTATATACTTACTTGTTGAAGAGCAGCTCGATCTAATTGATTGTCGAAGTAGAAAGCATGCATTTCAAAAGAGTATCGTAAAACTAAAATCCAACGGGTTACAACAGGTAATCAGTGGCCACGGAGCCAAAGTACAAACACGTAAGCTACCTAGAACGCGGGAAAAAGCGAGAGATCAGGTCTCGAATGGCTTTAGTTTGGTATCTGATTGGTCGAAAGGGTGTCACAAGTTTTCTGAAGCAATCAGAGACCTTTCTGTAGCAAAATCAACTTAATCCCAAATTTCTCTAGAAACTGAAGGGAAAACTATTCTGCACTGGCTTTGATTAGTCACGCCATGCGACTGATTAGTCAAACTATACGACTGATTGGTCACGCAATGCGACTGATTAGTCACACTATGCGACAGATTAGTCACGCTGTGCGACTGATTAGTCACGCTATGTGACTGACTAGTTACGCTATGCGACTGATTAGTCACGCTATGCTACTGATTAGTCACGCTATGCGACTGATCAATCACGCCATGCGACTGATTAGTCACGCTATGTGACTACGGTACAAAAAGCATGCTTCACTTCCTCAACCAATCATACGCGAAAAGAAAACCGACTTGCAACTTGGTCATTCGTATTTCCTCGTTGGCGACCTGATACTTGTGATATCTTTGTCTGGTTCGTCATTGTAATCTCAGTTTTAATGTCGGTTTCATTGAGCTCAGTCGAAAATCGTTCTCGCTGTGAGTGTTCTTGTTAAATATTGTGTTTAATGTTGCCCCTTTAAGGACGAGAGAGTGAACCTGTGGCGGGTGTTTGATGCGACAATCTTACTTGGCACATCGGAACGACTTTGACAGTTCGCGCAAACTTAATTAAAGATGAAGTTGTGAAGTCTTAGATCGTAATCATGTTGACATTTGATTCACAGTTTCCAGACTCTAATTTCTATCTCATAAAACTTATCTTGACTACAACTAAAGCCCTTACTTTTCATGAGGTCTTGTTTTCCATTTCAGCTGGGTTCCTGTATAAGTACATTATATATGGCCTTGGCTCAAGAAATAAAACAGTGTTACTGGTCGTCCTCAACTTCACTGCGCATGCGTTCTTCGGCATCTATCTTGGCATAGTGACCGGAGTAACCTTGGTAGTAGATTTGTTTACCAATCCACTGCCTTTTAAAAGGAAAATATGGTCGCCTTCAATCTCGCGCGCATGCTCCGTGCACTTTCTAACTGTTGCTTTGCTGTCGTGGTGGATTATCCCAGTGTTAGTAAATTTTAAATACATTGGAGGTTTACCTTGGAAGAATGACAGTGAGAACGGCTACCAGGCTGGATTTATTCTTAGAAAGTTATTTTCCGGGGACGTTTTTGACCACGAAAGATCATTTCCATTTATTACTGTCGGAGTGATAGCAGGGTTACCTTGTGTCTGTTTTACATGGAGAAGGAAGGACAGAAATACATTGTACCATAGCGCTAAACGAAGAATGATACTTACTTGGCTTGGTGCACTGTTCTGTGCGACTTTGTTTCTTTTTTTGGGAAGAACTTTTTCAGGTCGGTTCTACGACTTGATTCCATTTCATAAAGAAATAGAAGCCACTCGCTATTTGAATGGCATTCATTTTTGTGGACTTCTACTGATGGCAATCTCTTTTTCATGTTTCCTCCGTTTCTTTTGTGAAACCTTGTGTAGAGTTTCGAAAGGGTTCTTCAAATGCCGTGTCGTCTTAATTGCGACGATGCTGGTCGTAACACCGGTTTTCCTCAGCTTTCGACTTCAGGAAATTAATTACCGTCTGTCGGTGACCGAAATCCAGGATCTACCTGACGCTCTCAATGAATTGAAAACTTATCCAAGCGATGGACGGATTCTGGCACAGAAAGCTTTGGGTGAGTAAATGTTCAGTGCTCTGTTTTGTTCAGTTGCCTTGCGGCTTAATTAGCGATTACGTATACGTTTTTCTTTCTTCCCAGTGCGCAATATTTCCCACTCAGTGCATGAACAAGTTTAGGAAACAGGAATTAATTTACGTCGTTTTTTTTTACAGGTACTGGTGATCCTTTAACGCTAGCCCTTCTACCTCACTACAGCAGAAAGCCCGGTGAGTCCTCAAATTTTGAAGGGCAGCTAAGAATCGCTTGTAAGACTAAATAAATTGGAAAAGAAAAAATATGAATTTTACAGTAAGTTCTGGATTGATTAATCAGTGCGGAACATTTGCGGACTAAGACACAAATGACAGCATACCCTTAGCCCGTCAAACAACCACGTGCACTTGGTATCAATACCTTGGAACTGAGGATATTGTGGGGAAACAGATTCGATGAACATAACATAACCTCGTCTTTATCTACATTTGGGATTTTAGCGGGAACTTTGTAGGTCTTCAGACCGAGAGATCTGGGTTCGAGTTCCCGCCGGGTCATCAATGTTGCTTTTGAGGGCAAAGACCCTTAACACGAAGGAGCGTAAACGGGTGTGAGTGAGCTGTGCAGTAAGGAAAGTGAGATTTGGCTGGGACAAACGTTAACAATCATTTCTTCTTGCACTTCTCTCCGTGGTTTCGTCTTACGAAATTGGGAAAAGCTGCAGGTCGTTCATGAGAAGATAATTTAATCTTGAATTTATAATAGACTTTATAATTCCAACTGTGTTCTTTCTGCTATCCAGGAATTCTCACCTATTCCAGAGGCTATCACGATTCGCTGTCCCTCTACTATTTGGAAATGTTGCCACTCAGTCTCGAGATAACACCTTGGTTTCCTGATTTGTTACGTCTATACAACATTCGTTTCCTTGCCACATACCGGATCGCTTTACCTTCGCATGTTCTGAAGGTTTGTCAGCTAAGGCACCTGGCCTTCATAGGAGACATCGAAGTTTTCGTCAGAACATTCGAAGAGATCTATGGATATTTTGAGTTTGTCCATGTGCCTGGCGCTATCACGGGTGATTTAAAAGGCATACGTGAGGCTGTGTTGATATCTACCCAACTGTTCACCTACAGAGTGGTATTCGCTGTAAATCCTCACAGCACTTTTAACCATCCACCCTTCAAAATTGTTGTATCCAATAAAAATGCAGACGGAAACTTACTCAATTTTCTCGCTGGAAATGAGTTCAGGATAAAGTGGTTTGTTAACCAAAGGCGAGTGAAAGAAAAAGCTTTCCTCGAGGATATAAAGTTTGGGCTCCACCCCGGAGGTGTTTTTTCACGAGTTCTGCAAGAGGAAGTAGGAAGGAACTTTTACAAAGCTTATGTCCATGTAGTTGAGCGAGTCTGGAGCAAGGTATGCTTTTCTGTTTGAGTAAAGGCTGATAGTTTCGAAAGAAACTGTTTGGGGCTGCGTCGGTGGGAGTAACGAAATAATTTGGATATATCAACAAAGTTGAAGTGGTAAATTGGCCACTGTAACGATTACAAAAGCTGAAGTTTCGAGCGTTAGCCCTTCTGTTTGAGGATTGAGGCATACCGTAAATTCCTGAATTAATTAGTTTATCCCCAGGCCACAAGGGTTTCATTGAAAGCCAGTTACCTATGGTCTACCGCCGCCTATAAGAATAAGACTGCGTTCACACTTGGTGCTCAAGCATGGTGCCCAAGTACGATTCTTCACGAGTACTAATGTGAACACACCTTTTGTTTTTCAAGTACCCACGCCAGAATCTGGGCACCGTGCCCGTACACCTTGTTCTCGGGCACTGAACCGGGCACTAATATATCGAATACCCAGTGTCTGAACCCAGCACCATTTTGTGCTGGGGCCCTGGTACATGTACTAATGCTCGGGCACCAAGTGTGAACACAGCCGGAAGACCTCTTACTGCTATCTCTTTAAAATGCGAGTTATATTTGGCCAGGTTTTTTGAGAAAAAAGGGAAAAAATGACACCCTCTAGAAAGAGGCGTCGAACTTTCCCCTAAATTTAAAACAAGCACCCTGGCCGGTTAACCCAAGGATTACGGTAAGTGAAAAATCATTAAGTCAGTTGCGAACAGCCTGGAATTCGGAGCCGTAGCCAGACTTCAGAACAGGACGAGGCAAGTTTCGGGTCTGGCATGCCTCCTCCAGAAAATTTTGAAATCTAGAGGCTCAGAAATGCTCTTTCAAGCATCTTCCGTGGCACTTTTCTTTAGAAAAGTCAATCTTGGGCAAGTGTGGAAGTTCACTTTTTTATTGCCGAGCGATACTGGTGCAAAAGAAACAAAAAAAAGGAAAAGCCAAAATCAAGACGAGGCAATTGCCTCGTCTTGCCTAATGCTAGCAACGGCCCTGGAATTAAACCATGAAAACTAAGTCATGCTGTGATCAAAACGGTTTGTGGTTTCAATTATTTGACAAAATATCCTAATTTTTTGGCATTGAGCAACTAGCATCCTCACTTTTTTTTGGAAATTTTTTTTTCCAGAATTTCTACAAGACAGAGCACCTTCTTCTTAAAGTGACTTATCATCCTTACTGGAAATGCGCGTTCTATTCGTCAGTGGAAGCAACTGACGGTGCTCGTGATTGGCGCGAGGTTCTTGTGCATCACGTGACACCGAACCTGATGAGTATAGTTTTACCTCCTGGAAAACATCACGTGTTCTGTCAATATAAGAATCCAATTTATCAGAAAGTCGGTTTCGTGTTATTTTATATGATTTTTACTGCTTTAATGGTGAAAGAATTTTTTCGAGTCATTGTAAATTCTGATTGAGAATTTGAACCTCTTGTGGTTACTTTCTCAGTTGAAAATGCAAATGAGGTGACTCATTAAAACGTAGGCAGTACTAGATATTAAACAATGTGCTTTATGATTTTTTAAAAACTCTCACAGGTGCGTCCAGTCTGGTATCCCCTTAAGATAAACGAAACATCAGGTACAAAAAACAACAAGTAACTCAGACATATAGGGGATTAAACCTTACTCATCACCTGTGGGGGGGAAGGGGCGAAGGATTTTTGGGGAGGATGACAAGGTTTTCAGGGAGAACGGAGGGGGATCAGTCATCGCCAACAGAGTATGAAGGGAGGACTATAGAAAATTGTCTGTCAATGAGGGGGAACATAGACCTTTATGAGGAGATCGGGTAAATTTTATGGTGACACAACCAAAATCCTGCAAACCCCCCCAGGAGGGTCTCCATGGGGGGGGTTAGGTTGACGGTTAAAAGTGGGCCCTTTTGGCGGTTAAATTTTAGGTCATTCGATGGTTGACGGTTAAATTTTCGGAATGTCGTTAATAAAACGAACTAAACGCGCGACTTTTGCTGTAATTTTTCATAATGACGCATTTGCAAAGAACTGTTAATTTATAACACCTTTTATTAATAATTGACTTAACGTTTTACGACGCCGGAGGTGTTTTGTTTCCACACCGGAAGTCAGGTCTGTCGCTAACCATGTTACTCGCGACTAGAAGTTAAAGAACCTACATAAATGTATTTTTGTGATATATCAAGACTTTTATTTATAAACAACAGAGCTTGACCTCAATTAAGGCAATCGCTTAGCTCTTAATTAAGAATAACTGAGACATTTGATAGTCTATATTCGATTTTCGAAAACGCTCTCCAGAGTGGCATGTAATTGCACAGCAATAACGGTCTTCGTCGTTTATTATTTTGAATGGATGTATACGCAATCTGATTGGTTCTTGCTCATGATCTATTGGAGGACACACGCATAGATGACGTCACCATTAACATCCTTTTGCTTTCTAATCATATAAAACAAATAGATTCCATACTGCTGTTCGTTTGGTCAGTTATATAAAAGATCACAGAATACGTCAAAATTTAGTGTCCCGATGTGTTGAACCAAAAAAAAATTACGCAGTGACTATTAACTGCTAACAAGATTATCCGTTTCGTCTGGAGTTATCGACGAAGAGTGACACCAGGTAACTTAATTAGGCGCCCGGGTTACAAGTTAATACGTAATTGTCTTTGTTCGTGGTTTTCGTTCTTTGCTTAGCTTAGTTTTTACGTTAACTTTGTCAATTAGTTATATATTGCGAGTCATTTTGCTTCTCGATCCGGTGAAATGTTGGTAGCAGAGTGGTTAGGGTGACTTCCGCGGGATCTCAATGTTAGTTTATTTTTGGTGATTATCAACCGCTGGACAGCCTCTTTACAAGAAAACCAATCGCTTGGAATAGCTAGGACTCCGTGCTCGTTCCGAGTGTAAAGGAATACATTACAACAACAACAACGACAAAACAAAACAAACGAAACAACAACAACATAAAAAAATCGAAAAGGCGTCCTTCTCTTTTCCATTAAAAGATTCTTTGGATATATTTGGAATAAATATTGACAATAGGTTGCGTTTTGATAATTATATATCAACTATTTGTAAGAAGATAAATGGCCAGTTCCATGTAATGCTAAGATTTCGTAAACTTATCTCTAAAGATACTCTACTAAGATTGTATAAGGCTTTTATTATGCCACATTTTAACTATTGTTCGTCTGTATGGCACTTTTGTGGTGCGCGTAGTACTGAGAAGATAGATACTTTAAACAAGCGAACTCTTAGAGTTATCTTGCAGGATTATAATTCTCCCTATGACTCTCTACTTAGCAAAGTTAACTCCAAATCTCTGTATAAAAGACGCCTTCAGACTTTCTTAATTATATTGTACAAGAGCTTGTTTTTTAACTGCTATCCAGGCTATCTAAAGAATATGTTTAGTTTCCGGTCTGTATCCTATAATCTACGCGGAAATTATATTTTGTCTCTACAGTCTACAAAACCACTACTTATTGTCTTCACTCCCTTTCATATATGGCTTCAAAACTATGTAACTCTCTTCCGGACCCTTTTAGAACGTCTGACTTTTCTGATTTCAAGCGCAAGATCCTACAGTATGACTCTTTCTCATAGTTAAATTTTAGAATGTTACAATTTTACATTTTAGTAGTATTTAGAATTATACTTGTAACTCGAAGATACTAGCTTATTCTTTAACTACTCCAAATTCGAGATTAAATAAAGTATATGTATGTATGTATGCATGCGTCCATAGTTATTAGTAAATTTCCCCCAAAAAAGTTAGATGTGTAGAGTCAGTAAAGTGTATTTGCCCCACGGAGGGGGCATAATAGTTTTCCAGCCATTTTGGTCTCAGAAAGGGAACAGGTTTTGACCACCAGGGGTGATTTTTTTAAAAGAGAAATTATACGCTAGTCACTCTTAAGTTTCACAGGCTTAATCGGAAAATCATTGCTTAGTCTAGCTGAAAATGGCATGTTAAATCTCGCGGAAGTCTACCCTTTGTGCAAGCTTTCATTTTCAATTGGGACAGCTCTTAAAAATGGAGAGATATTTCTTGCAGACTCTTATCATTTACAGTCAAACAGCATTTTACATCAACTACAAACATGACGGTATTCTTCAGTCTCTCAATGTCTTTATTGTTCAGTAACCCTTCTCACAAAACACTTTCCATTTTACCTAACACATTACATCAGCATTACGTTGTAATTAGCTTAAGTTGTATCTATTTCCGTCTGGAGTTTATTTCCTAGGGCATTATTAAGCAAATGAAGAGGTGAACACCATTGCAGGTTCTTTGCCTTGATTCTGAAAATTGACCACCCAAGTATGCTGGGAGAAGAAAACTAAATGGGAAAGAAACAAAAAAAAAAATCCTTAGAAAGGACTGACTACAACTTGAGTATAACATGACAAGAACACTGTTGAACATGACAAGAACCCTGTTGGACATGACAAGAAACATCCACTAAATAGATAAAACAATTACACTTTACGCTTAAAAAGGAATAAAAGCAGAATCCATTCTATGTAGCTGCAATTCAGAGATTAAGAATTTGGTGATTAGAATCCTCACTGAAAAGTTTGCAGGATGGGCAATTTCGCATAATGAGTTTACCTTGAGTGTAATCTTCCCCGATTTTGGTTCCAAATTGGAAGGGAAAAGGTTACTTATTCAAAGAGAAAATGATTACATTTTTCAGACTTTTAAGGGCAGGCATGGATCTCTTGGGAGTGTGCACTCATACAGGCAATTGTTGGGATTTCCATGGTCACTATCAGTGCTGTGATCTCTAAAAGAGTCACTGGGTTCCCTATGGCTTTTTTCCTGTGAAATCTGGGGTACACAGCCCTAAAACCTTTCAGAAAATTAAAGTTATACAAGTTTCTCTCAGACAGATGTTATTTGTCCAGAGCACCCAGGTTCTACTAAAGCTTAACCTTCATATAGCCTGATAAAGCTAAAACTACAACTATTTCAAAAAATATCTAGTAAGGATTAGTCCTACAAGATTTCACAGTGAACTGTCTGATATGTAAAGACACAGGCAGTGCTAATAAAATACTCTAGATGAATTTCACAGTAGTAATAGTGCGAGGCATGAATTCTGAGGAATAGTACTGTAATAGCAACATTCAAATGTACGTACAGACATCTCCTTGTTTAAGTGTAAACTCAAACTTCTCACAATTGTCTTGGCAGTCCTCGACTGGCTCAAGATTCACATGTGTTGCACCAGTGACTTGGGCCATCCATACATTGTCAAATGTGCCTTGTGCCTGGCACTTAAAAGGAAAGAATAACACATGGAAGATTTAAACAACACCAACAACCACATTATAAGCCCACAACCATTCAACAAACACTAATACAGTACACATACCACCTCTGTCATTGGCTGAGGGTTACTTTCTGTTATTTCCTGGGTTGGTTGTAAGAGATAAACCCATTTGTCTAAAGCACCTTCACTATGGATACAGTACGGGCGAGGAAACATGGATCGTAACAATCTCAAGCCCTGTCCATAACAAACTTTCCTGCAAAGTAAATAACATTCGTAATCAATGGCTGTGTTGCATGAACAGAGAAACAATGACATGTAGATTTGTATGAACCCTTTACACTGTAACATCAGTTTTCATATTCGCCAGACTGTCTCTTTACATTTCCTATGGTGCTGATGAAAGACAATCTGTTAGACAATCAAGAACTTTATAAATTGGGGATCATTGCCTTTCTTTCTCATTACAATGAGATTTGAACCAAGGGTGATATGGTGGGGAGAAATTAGAACCCAGTCCCTCTGGGTTAAAGGATAAACGAAGCAGAACTCTCAGGGGTAGGAGGGGTTTAGAGGGGTTTAGTTACAAGGGGGTCCCCCTGAGTTTCACCCAAACTACCAATGTAACTTTCATGTCAACAACCACCCAGTCTTTTACTAAAAGCAAGACATTCCATTCATGAATGAAGATCATTTGGATTTCTCTTTTCTCTTCCCTTGAACTATGAGGTCCATGTGTTGTTGAATTTAAAAAAAGTCAGCTTTCAAAGGGGGGGTTTATGAAGACTGGCGATCTATCCCTTACTTTCCCCTCTGCAGACACCAATATGGAACCGATATTGCATCAATACTGGACGAGTTCTTAACTTTTAACACAACACCTTCCATAAAAAAAACCCCTGCACCAGTCCAACACCTCTAAATATTGGCCAGGGTTATCAGTGATAGATCTAGGGGAGGGGTACAGGGGGCCTGCCCCCCTTACTTGGGCTAAAAAAATAAATGCAGAGGGAAGAAAAGCTGGCAGGTGAACACACGTAAACAAAAATGCCCCCCCCCTTACCTAAAGGTCTGGATCCACCACTGGTTATATTAGTGCAACCTTCACTGTCTAAACCTTTTAACTTCCAAGACCCAGTTAATAATTTTCCCAGATAACCGCGATATTTTTCCTTGTTAATTAGACAGGAAAATAGTTGGTTGTATTCCAAAATAACACCCTGTATCTGATACACGTAGGCTTCTCTGTTTTCTCATACCCTATTTACAAGAAAACTTATTGGAATTGTCGGAAGTTACATGTTAATCACTTCTGGAAGTTGAGGGGTCAAACCACTGCAAAAACAGTCGACTAACCACCCTATGATGTCTCCATTAGGCTGGTAATGGTCCCACTTCCCAAGAAATTCTGCAACATTTTGGATTGATTCATTGGTGACTCCATTTTTCCTTAGCTCACATGTATCCTCCTCCAGAGCTGCTTGATGAGAACGATAAAATTCCATGAATTTTTCAAAACTGTGCTCTGCATCCCTATAACCTGGCATATCCCTCACCACAACAGGTGACGCACTATCATAAAATCGATTCTTGAAGGCAGCTTTGGTCAGATTCGCACTAGTTCGGCTGGCAATTGTCTTCACTTCACTGCATATCACACAATCAGGTTTTTCTAGAGAAAATATAATTATAGTTATAAAATAATATCAATAATGATGATAATGGAAACAGTAATAATGATAGCCTAATTGGTCACACCTAAGGCAGGGGCTTTTGGTGCCAGTGTGGATAACAAATGAAACAAATATTGCCAATAAAAATTATGTCTGACAGGAAGCAGACCAGTTGACTTTTTACTGAGTGCAGCAAAACAAAAAAAAAACAAAAAAAATCAAGGAAACCAAGAACATATCCAATGACTAAGGGAATGGAGGGCTTGAAGTGGTGACCACCAGTATGTACCTGTGGTCATAGACACAATAAAACAAAAACATAACCCTGCTGTTATTAAGTTTTGAAGAACTATTGGTAGTAGATTTTTACTTAAAAATTGAGTCTTTTTCTCACAATTCTACTCCTGAAAGTTGATGAGGGCAAGGCTAAACTCAACTATTTAAGCACCAGAGTGCACTTTCTATTTGTTTACTGGCATCTGGTTAGCTCAATTGGTTAGAGCGCTGGATTGTGTTGTGCAGGAGGTTGAGGGTTTGAGTCCTGGCTGGACCAATACTTGTGGTCTTAGAATAACTGAGGAGAATTTGTTACCTTTCTATAATATCAAGAAATGGATAGATATTCTAGTCTTCTTGGATAAGGACGAATAAAACTGTAGGCCCCATCTCCTGCAGGGCTAGGGGTAGGAGACGTTAATTTCCCACACATGAGATTACTGTGTGGTGGATGTCCTCCCTGGGGTGGGATGGTGGGTACCAAGGGGTTAGGTGCCAATTGGGACAAAAGTTCTGTTCCTTTCTCCTGCCATTCTCGTGGCAAATAAATTAAATTCCTAAATTCCTAAAAATAACCCACATGGGATATTGGGAGAACACAAGGAAAACTTGTAAATCACAAGCTAGGGATGAGTGATTTACCACTGCAATAAATGATGGGTTTTGGACCAATTAGGGTGCCTGTAGCATCTCAGTTATTTTATAGCATGTGATGGAAATCTCAAGTTAAAAATCTAATTTTTAAAAACAAAAATTTAATTCAAGTTAGAAGTAAACTACACAGTCAAACCAAGGATGGAACTAAACAAATCAAATGTACTTGATGGTATCATACCTGGAACATACAAAGGGTTATCTACCATGCAGTCCCAGGCACTTAGCTTTGTAAAGTCGTAGAACTGGTGCAGTGGTAATGCCATAAGACGAACAAAACGTTGCAGTGGATACTGATAATCCGCAGTCAGTTGCCCAATGTACAATGCAAAGGATGCATTTGTTACAGTGATCACTGTAACTATGGTATAGAGAAGAATGGGCAATAGCATCACAAATGCTGTCAACTTTAAGCAGACACTGAAACAACTGTGTTTCTTTGCCTTGGTTTTGCTTCGATTCTTAGGACCTGATGGAGATCTTTCTGAAAATGAAGAAATACGTTTGTGCCTTACAGATTTGCTGAGAAGACAATAAGCCTTTTTAAAATTTTTTTTACTGTTGCAGCACAGCTGCATTGCATTATACATGATTGTGTTTTTTTTGGAACCCTTATACTCAGGATATTTGTGTTGTGTACCAATGTAACTGTATTCAAGTTTGGACTTCATTCATTTTATCATCACAGGAGCATCCTGTGAGGAAGCATTGAAGGAGAATGCAAAGTCCAAGTTCAATTCATTCGATATTTTCTACCTTCAATCCCTAAATATTGACTGAGGCCATTCTTACTCCTCCAAATTCTTAGCTGGCATCCAAAATAAGGAATCTATTTTAATGAGTAGGTGGTAAGGCCTCCCCCCCCCTCCGATCTCCCTGCATGACTTAATCTACCTGGGAGATTGAACTCCTATTTGGTACAACGCTCAGTGTCATTGCAAGCTTTCTATTACCAACAAATATATCTTTAGTTATTAACCAAGTGCAAGGGCCGTACTGGGAGAATATCGGCCCGAGGTCTTGACAGTACAGAACGAGCGCGCTCGGTCCATACAAAAAATGACCAAGGGCCAATATTCTTCCAGTACAGTCCCGAGCGAGCTTGGTTAATAAGAGATTTATTATGTGACTGAAGTTCAAAGGGACACGAGTGCGGTATCATTCGGGACCATTCAGGACAGTGCCCGGTCCAATACTGACAGAATATTGACCGGCAATAGAGCATTTTGATTGGTTTATTTTAGTTATTGGCCCTCTGATTTCCCGAGTTGTGTAAAAATAATCAATACTACATGAGGGAACCGGATTTGAATATTTAAGAAAAATAGTCTATGGCTGGTATGATGCAGCATTTTGTCTCAAGCAGGAGACTCATCAGATGCCTTTCAGTATTTCCCAGTGAAGTCCTGTTCACAAATTTTAAGATGTTATTAATGAGGCTCCCTATTACAAAACGATTCCCAAACTCACTTTTATATGCTATATTTATTTAAATAATGAATATATATTTGCTGAGTTTGATCAACTTTGAGTTATTGTGCTATTCACACAATGTAAGATGTTGTTGAAAGTCTTTCTTATTCAATATTTTTCAAACAAGATCTATATTTACTCTCCTCTCTCCTACATATCAGGTTACGTGTGTGTAGCAGTTCAATTTTTATCTTAGTATAAAATTTTTACCCTAGTTGGATTTCCTTAATTTACTTATTTTTCCAATGTTTATTGATATAACCTGAAAAAAATAGAAAAATAAAACCAGTTTGATCACTTCTAAACAAAGAAAGAATTTTGAACCAGTTCTGAATCGATACAAGGCAAATAAGAATGAAAATAAAGGAAGTTTTATTTCCTACCGCTAAGAAACTCTTTACCATGGGCAATCTACATTATCAACTTAATTGATAAAACTAAATTAAATGCAGACTGAACTCTGGATTTAAGACTACATGCAATAGAGTTTCCTTAACCCTTAAGGAAAGATTCCAGCATAGCCCCACACTTAACTATGTTAAACATAATAAATATGTAGAATTGTAAACTTTACAATTCTTTGTAAACTTTACAATTCTTAGATAAAGAAAATAATAGCAAAAGAAAAAGATATTGCTTTTGAACCACGACTTTGTTTGAGTTATATGGAAACCTTACCGCTTTAAGAATGGCTTTTCTAAAACGAAAACTTATATTAACAACACTTGTTAGGGTGACGTCTTCATGTACGCAAGTGGCCTCAAATTTGCTCATATACTGTTTATTGAGTATATTACTTCCATGTGACTATGTACTGATCAAGCCGGCCCTTGATCGTCATGAAGTTGGTACTACCGTATAAAATACGGCACTACTAATTTCATGCAGTTGAAATGCTTGAAAGTAAACGTCCTTTTTCACAGAAGTTTCTAAGGTTGGCTCATCATCACTGGACAGTAAACAAGAAAGCTTCTCTACTTTTCTCTACTCACTTTTCTTTACTCGCTTTCAGTTGATTTTTCTTTCCCAATATTTTACTTTTTTGTATTTCTTTGAAAATTAACCTGCCGTCCGTATCGTTTTAGAAAATTTAAAGCTAAGAATCGTTTAAGGAAAATCATGGAGATAGACCACCCCAGATGTAACTTATAACCGAGGCGTGTTACAAATAATTTCTACCTCCAAGTGCTCGAAGAATCGCTTCGTCAATTTGTTCTTTGCTGAGACCCCAGTCTTCGCCTTTCTTACGCAGTTCTTCGACTTCTTTTCGGAGAAACATTCCAGTTACATTATTCGCCATCTTTGTCGTTCTTCGTGACCACGATTACCGATAAGAATGAATCTAATACAACAGTTTGATATCGCTCTCACAATGTTGCTGTTTTACATAAGACCCTTGCCCACGACACTTATCACTAACGGGGGAGGGCTCAATTCAAGATATCATTGTAGCCATAGTTAACAGTGATCGTGAGCTTCTGCTGAAAATCGTAGAGTAAAATCTCAAACTTGTGAAAATTATTCTCTATCATTTCCTTTTTGGTTAATTCACGTCTTTAAAAAGTTATTCGGAAAAATAAATGTTTTCCTTCTTTAGATCTCCTCCCTCAAGAAGATTATTAGTCCTCTCAAAGCGACGAAATCTCAAAGTGAGGCTAGGCGCGGACCCTAAGCCCGGATCAAAATTTTGTGTGCAGTCTGCCAAGATTGACAAACTTTTCCGTGTAAGAAGTTGTGGTACAGTGTTTTTTCGCCTCTTTTGACGCTTCCGTTGACATGGCAGGTGTCGAGGAGCTTTACAAACAGTTTGGAATCCTTGCTGATGCAAACGAGAAAGCTGGAGAGGTGAGCTAGCTTCGCTTGGCGCGAGCACTTTTAATAAAACATGGCGCCGTTTTGTCACGTGGATTCGAATGTCAGGTTGTTGTTTTTTTTTCCAGAGTTAGTTGTTAAAATTTTCACCCACTCTTGTCTTTAACAGCACGAGGGAGCCTTTCTGCTTATGTTGGCTGCTGTAAAGGGTTCACAAGCGGAGAAGCGTTTGGCATCCCAGTTTATAGCCAGATTTTTTAAGTTCTTTCCCAAGCTGCAGGAGAACGCAATAGATGCTATGCTGGATCTGTGCGAGGATGAAGACAACACAGTAAGAGCTGTTAACTCATTCAATCCTAAGTTATGAGTATTGATTCTTTATTCCAGCCACAAATTCATTTCCTGGTTAAATTGTCAGGAGAATTTGGTATTTAGCAGAATGTTATAGAATAACTGGTATACTTCAAGCTCCCTGATTGGTTTAACACATTGACACCAGAACCACCCAAACTGCATGATTGCCTCATGCAAGAACGCTTTCCCCCCTACCTCCCCCACTAAGTGGAGTTTTGCCCCTGAACTTCCTCTTGGGTTTGGAGATCAATAAACCAATCAGAATCTGTCGTTTGCACATATATTTTGATGGCTTTGGGGGGGTACTAGAGGGGCATTATTTTATGCGTCTTCACTAAATGATCAAATTTGAAAATATGACGTTCGCTCGGCCGACCCTCAAAATTTTCAGGTTGGATTTTTCGTTCATTTACAATCGAGTTAGACCTTGTGGAACTCAGAATGTAAGGTAACAATGCTATAGAATACTCTGCTTGGAAAAGAATGGATATCAAGGTGTTGAAGGTGACAGAGTAAGCTCTCGAGTCAACACACTACGATTCTCTAAAGCAATGCGAATTATGGACGTAAAGTGAAAACCGAACTTTTGGACGTCATGCAGGGCCTAGCGACAATTTGACGATTTGATGGCCCAGTAAATGTTATATTCGAGTAACAATGTGTTCAAAAAGTATTGTTTAATAGAAGATTTTGCATCAAATCAAAGTTTTTTCAGAATTTTCAACATAATGCTGTGCAATTTCTGGCCATGAAGTCAAGTAAACAACGATCTAAGCATGATGAATTTTACCGCGTGGGCTATGTTCACGTAAGAAATTCATACCATTTTTGCATATAACAGCAAATCAAACACTGTTTTGAATAAATCTGTCATCCCAAAATATTTCTTGGCCATTTTAGTCTTGCTTCCTATCGATAGATTGCATGGAACTTGAGATCCCTTCACTCACGGACAAATTTGCATATGCCCTTTTGAAAAATGATCCACAGGCTCATTTGCGCACATGTGAAAATATTTAGCGATGTTTATCTTTCATCTTGATTTTTCAGTCAAAACGTACTATGCACTTATCGCTTTTTTCGTCGGAAATAAGTTCTTTAATTAGTCGTCTTTCACTGGAGCTTGTTTTTTGGAAAAGATGATTTTTAACAATTTACTGCGCATTGTGTTTGCTATCTTGGTTTCTCCAAAATTTTGACTTTTTGTAGGGACGTGTTACACGTAAGTGTCAATGGGTTAAACCTCTTTTCTGTTGCATCAGTAAACAAGTAACTCTAGGGTGATGAGAACAGAAGCACATCAGTAAGAAAATATTTAAAGAATAGACTGCACTTTCTACTGGTTTACCAACATATTAACCTCTTGGCATTTTGGGAGAACATTCAAAAGAAACTTCTCAAGTTCTCCCAACCTCCTGTGTGGGTCATTAAGCCAAAAAACCAACACAAAGTGCTGTCTGTTGCTTAAATATTTTTCTTGGTGTTAAGTTTTCTATTCTCATGACCTGTTGGTGAGAGAATGCATTCAGATAGTTATAGAGTAGACCCTACATTTCAAACATTTCTGAGAGTCACTTGGTTAATTCAGGAGATGTTGCTAAATTATCTAGAATGATGTCTTTTGATGGAGCAGTTTTTTTCTCCGATAGTCCAGTGGCATAATTTAACATGTACCATGTAGATTTGTTACTTTTAGTAAATCACATATATATATCTTTTTGTAATGCCAGATCAGACGTCAGGCTATAAAAGGTCTGCCAGACCTCTGCAAAGACACTCCAGAACACCTTCCCAGAATAGCTGATGTACTTACCCAATTATTGCAGTCAGGTAAGTGTACAACTAACAACAGGACATGTAGTGATTATCACATATGTAATGATTTCTCACAATACTGTTATATACATGTATAATAATTTGAAGTGTAGTTCGAGATATCAAGTCAATACTTGTTGTTAAGTAACAACCAAAGAAATGTGTGCTGTTCTTGTGTATATAGATGTATTGTGTTTTTATGAGAAAATTTTAATATATCAATCATTTGTTTCCTTACTCCTTGTTGTCAAAGTTTCCTCAACCCTTTAATCCAAAGAGGTACTAGTATCTGATTTCTATTTATAATATCACCTCTGAATCACACATTAAGGTCATACAAATATTGGAAATTATCATCCACTGAAGAAGCTCCTGTTTGTTACTCAAATTCTCCTTGTCAGCACCTTTGGAAATGTATAGAGAACAGTATGGAGAATATGCATACCAATTGAGCTAACCGCCTCCCGGTTAGCTCATTTGGTTAGAGCGCCAGATTGTGTTGTGCGGGAGGTCGAGGGTTTGAGCCCCAGCCAGACCAATATTCATTATCTTAAAATAAGTGAGGAGAATTTGCTACCTTTCTATAATCAAGAAATGGATAGATATTCTAGTCTTCTCGGATAAGGACG